TAAAAGTAAAAAATTTAACCATGTCATCATTTTTTGCCAGATGGATTTTCCACGTAATTTAATAAAAAAACAAAATGAGTTTTTCCATTAATTAACATGCCACATCATCGAAAATTTAACGAAAGGACTACAAAGGGATCAAATTTGTGAACAATAAGGACAAAAAAGGAGATTTTTTCAATACAATGATTAAAAAATGACTTTTTCCTATAGTAGAGGGACCAAAAAAGATATTTAACCTAATTAAAATCAAAATAACTTAAGGACAAAATCAGAAACATAATCTACAACACTAATAACAGATTTAAACTATACATATAATGAATATAGATAATCAAGTAAAAAGAGCTATATTAAAGATAAACTATTAATTTGATCTAAATTGTTAATTTAAAAACCTCTTAAAAAATAAAGTAATTTGAAGGTTAAGCAGATCAAAATTGATCAATTTAGTGGTAGAACTGGTCATCAGTAATAAAAACAATTCAACCAATCGTTTGATTTCAAAATAAATAAATAAATAAATAAAAGGCTGCATGGATGGATGTTCAAAAATTTAGGAAAAAAATAGTATTTGACAACCTAAAAGTCAAGGGGACCAAAAATAATCTCTCTTTTTCAAGGTTGAAATGAAAGGCATCTTTAATTTTGTATTATCCTCCCTAACCAATGGCAATGGGGAACATCTTTTATCTTCCAGAGCCGCATAGGATGCGATAATGACTTTGATTACTTAAACTTGAAAGTAATTGCCACTGACTTTGACATCTTCCTGTTTCCCAGTATCCTTATCACTCATTAGCTCACTTTTTGAATTTGTTTATGTTGAGTTCAAGTATATATTATAACAATTAAATGCGAATATATAGCACTTGAACCTTGTGTTTCGATGCCTCTATATCATATTAGAAATATATTCTCAACTCAAGAGTTAAAGTTCGAATCTCTTCATCATCAATATAATACGTTAAAAAAACAAACAAAAAAAAATAAAACAAAGAGCCTTTCATCTATTATAGAACAACAATCTTGAGAACTCTGGCTTCATCTTTTAAATGTTATAAGTTTAAGCTACCTAATTTATTAATTGAAAAATAATTTGTATACCCTTAAGTTCAGTATACACTTAACACTTAGGTAATTTAATTTTTAAAATACAATATAGATATAGTAAGTTTAGTTAATTTTCTCATGCTGTATTTATAATTGTATTTTAAAGTTCTTTAACCTTTAATTTTAGATTTAAAAATAATAATTTTTTAATAAATATGTTAAATTAAAAGATATCTTATTAATATTTTTATTTTTTTTACTTTATGTTATATAATGAAATGCAACTTTTTTTTTTATTTCTTTATCACTTATCTGCATGCTTGTATTTCAAACTTAAATTTTCTTACTTTATTTAAAAAAATCTACTCCTAAATCACTAAATTTGCTGAAAAGAGTTGCTTAATTTTTGTTATTTCAGATATTGAGATTAAATACGATCTATTTTGGTATTTCCCTGTTATGGTTCAATGGTGATCACTGGTCACTGCTGTCCAAATGGACAACCGGTGAAATACACTTTTAATCTCAAGTTCAATATCTCTTAGAACAGATATTAACTTACCAATCTAACCATTCTCTCTTCTGAAAAAGAAAAAAAAAAAAAAAAAGGGTCTATTTTGGACTGCAATTTTGAGTGTTAAGCAGTTTAACATTATTGCACATAGAATCCACGTGGACTCCACCCACCCACTACAAAATAAAACAGTTGGCCTCTTCGTGGGCCACGTCAGCATCCCAACAAGAATACCACGTGGCAAGCACACACATATTCCACGTGGAAAGCATGGTTTAATAATTTGATTATTGGGCCATTAAAAAGATATACTAAAATCTTTAGGCCGAATCACAAAGCCATCTTAGGCTTTTATCCTTTTTCGCCCTAATGGTTGGTTTTTTTAATTGAAAGTAAATTTTTATTTTATCAATAAAATCCATAGAGAAAACAACTTTAAGAGTAAATCACTTAAATCACTTATAGATTAATATATATATATATATATATGTCACATAGAGATAATGAATCATACATAATTTTTAATTAAGTACAAATGGAGATTAAAAAAATGAGTAGATCATTTTTAATATTAAAAAAAAGTTGGGAACATATCACACACCAA